CGTTAAAGTTCTCACTGTTGGTGCAACAATCAGTCACAGGGAACCGGGAGTCCCACCCTGAGATCCCACGCTGCGAGGCCCAGGGCTGCGAGCGGTCACCGCTAAGCGCTCGCCTCCTGGAACCTGTCCACTGGGCGATGCTGCCATCTAGTGACCGTTCTCGGGATCGGGGCTGGGCTCGCCCATTCCCCAGGAGGAGGGAAGATCCTGCAAATCTCTCTCCTTTCTTACAAAGTGCGGGTGAGAAAGGAGCAAAAGAAAGGGGGGAAAGCGCGCAAACGGGGAGAGGGCCAGGAAAAGCTTCCCTGCACAGCCTGCGGACGTTGAGGGCAGGGATGCCCGCGATCGCCTGGCACAACCTTGTCAGCACCCCTCGAAGGTCGTTCCCTCCCACACCCAAACCACACCGTCTAAACTGTGATATTTATTTTTTATTTTCCACACTTGAATTTCGCTTTGCAACATCCTCGATCCGGGAGAAACCCGGCTTACATTCTGCTTGCCATTCTTCTGTGGTGGGAATGCAAGGCTGAGGAGATTTAGCCGAGTCATCTCATCTGGCTGTGGTCAGGAGTCCAGAGTCCGGGACCAGGTCCGCAGCCCCGCGGCCACCTCGCCACGTGTCGCCTCGGGAGCCCAGGTAAGTCTCAGGTGCAGGGAGAGGCCTGGGGAACAGTCACCTGCTGTGCCAACAGGACACCTGGACAGAGACCAGCCCTGTGCAGGTGTGGTGATGTCTGCAGGACTGACCACGGCCAAGTTCTGGAGGCTGCTCCTTCTCCAGACCTTGCGCGTTCTGGGAAGCTAGCGAAGCGCTTGAGGATGGAACGGGCAGACAGGAAGTTGCTTTAAACCCCAAGCTCCGCGCTCTTTACTTCCTTGATGCAAAGATGTTTCTTGACCTTGCTCACAAGAGGCTGTCTAGGCACTTTTGAGATAAGAGGAGAGCTGGTGGTGCAGTGGTTAAGTACTTGATTGTTGGCCACAAGCCCCACTCCTACCCCAGCTCTTCAAGAGAAAGAAGGTCAACCCCCTGTGACGCTTCTACTCGGTCTAATTGGGTCTCACTGAGCCTGTATCTACTAGATGGCAGTAGAATTGTTTGTTTAGTGTCATGGCTAAAAATGTAGATTTTGAAGGAGCTCTGGTTGCCTTAGTGGCAAGAAATTGCACTGCAATCCCAGAGGTACAGGGTTTGAATCCACCAGATGCTCTGCTGGAGAAGGAGGGACAATCTCCTCCTGTACCTGTCAGATCCGATTTGATGGTACACACACACAAAATAATAATTTTTTTTAAAAAAACCCACCAAAATATGTAGATTTTGGAGTCTCCATTTTTCTCTGACTTCTAGTTAGATCCATTAAACTCATTGCTGTTGAGTTAATACCAGCTTGGTGATTTCTCTGTGGGGCCTCCAGGCTGTAACTTTAAGGGAGAACATTGCCCATTTCTCCCTTGGAGATGCTTAAAAAGCTTGATCTTTTTGTTAATGGCCCAGCACATAACCCTATCAGAGTTATCACCAGTCCTGTTACGTTGTTGTGATGTACCATCAAGTTGGAACTGACCCATAGCTGACCCTCCAGGGGGGTTTTCAGAGGCAGTAAATTTAATAGGAGGAGATGGTCCATCTTTGTCTCCCAAGGAGCAGCTAGTGGATTCGAACTCTGTACCTTTACATTGACAGCACAATTCCTTACCACTAAGCCACCAAAGCCAGAGCTACTAGCTACATGCCTTTTTCTTTTTTTAAAGCACAACCAATCAAGACAAACAAACAAACAAAACCTCAACCCCAAACACCACTGCTGTCAAGTTGCTTTGGACTGAGGGCAACCTCTTCTTGCTTTACAAAGTAGAACTGCACTCCGCACACTTGACCGTGGAGTTTAAGGATGCAAGGTCATCTGGCCTTTCCAGTCCCAGACGGTCAAGTTCAGGCTGAGACTTTTGTGCCAATTGAGTGCAGACTGTCTGTACCATCTGGGGCATTTCACGTGTCTTCAGGAGACCGTTAATTTAACTCCAAGTTTCGCTAATCCTTCGTGTTCAATCAGCACTTGGTTTTTTGTCCTGCTTGAGAGCCCTCAACGACCTTCAGTTCTAGAAAGTTCTGGAAAGCGAGTTGGAGGCTTGGTTTCTGAGGCCTGGGGAAGCTGCCTCGGGCCCTACAGCTCTCAGCTGCTGTATCAGTTTTGCATGAGAAGTCCAGCACAAGGGCAGCGGACTGCTTTCTTTCTCAATGGAGAGACTCTGTGGGTGTGATTTTCCCAGGCCTCAGCTTGCAGAGTCGCAAGCTGCTTTCTAATGAGGCCTGTGTCCTCCTTGGGGCGGCCCCAGCTGGTGGGGGCTTTGCAGCTTCTAAGCTTCCAGTCCCAGGCTCCAGGCACCTGTCAACCCCCATCCAGCTCATCCAACCCCAACAATGACAAGCCCCGTTGATATGTATGTTGTGTGAAGAAAACTCCCAGGAAGAAACAGCCGGTATATTTCTTTCATTTTTATTTCAGTGTGACTTTGAAAATATCTTTATTCTAAAAGTAACAACAAAGCAATGCTGTAGTTTATTTCTCCTTCATGCGAGGTTCTGAGTGTAGCCTTCAGGCCAGCAGCATCCCAGTATCACCTAGAAGCATGTTCTTAGAGTTATTTTGTGTCATTAAATCCACTATGACTCTTAGCAACCATATGAACAACAGATCTGAACCTTGGCCTATTCTGTTCCATCCTCACAATCTCTGTCATGTTCCAGCCGTTGTTGTAGTCACAGTGTCTATCTATCTTGTAGAACAGGGACAGCTTATGAAACCATGAACCTTACACCTCCAAATCAAGAAAACAAATCTCATTAATTGTTTGCACATAAACAGCCTCAGCAGCTACGTTTGTGTCTTGTTGTTCTTGAAAATACATCTGGTGCACTATTTTCCCAGTTCAGCTTTTTTTTTTCTGATAAATTAAAGGATTTGCTATTACCAGCACACAGACAAAACCAACAGTCATTTGTAACACGCTCTTGGAATTTGAGCAGTTTATGAACTCATAAAATCAGTCAAGAGCAAATTTTGAACTTCCTTTCAAGAAGCCTGAACAGAAATTGCATTAATCCAAACACTCTACCATCAAAAAATACTCTTCTAAAAACAAAACAAAACAAAAACCCAAAACTCTTCTCCTAGATTCTAATACTCAAATATGACCAAATAAGTAATCATACATAATACAGCTTTAGACTGGGGACATTGCCAGCAGTGTGATTTGAAGCAGGCTTTCAAGAGTTGAGATGAGGTCAACCAGAAAGATAACTTCAGGCGGAAGGAACAGGTCTTCATTGCAGTGGCTCAACGTGTGTCAGCAATGAGGCCTGTGTTGGCAGCAGTCCTGTATTCGAACAGGAGCGGAAAAGCAGCACACATTTAGGTACGATTTCAGTGTGACCAAACCATGGCGTGACCACAGCAGGTAGCCCTCGATTTACGACACACTCCATTTATGACCCACTGCACTGGTGTTTATGGGAGTTCTGTTGTAAGTCTTAGTGTTAGAACCAATTCAGCTTTTTACAAGTGTACAGCTAGTATGTAAGTTGGTACCTTTTTTTCTATCACAGTAAACTAACACTCATTTTTTCCATGTGCAATAACCCATTCCTGATGCACTTCTCTGACCCACAGGAAAGTGCCAGGCGATCAGGACTTTCCTTAGTCAAGAGGTGAGGGGACAGAAACTCACAGTTGAATGTCCTCCAAGCTGTGGATTCTCATACCTTTATTGAGAAGTTCTTCACCACATAAGCAGTAAAATTTATTAACTGGACTCTAAGATGGTTTTTACTGTTCCTTTTCTTATTTGCTGACCATCCTTGTTTCCATAACCCCATCTACATTAGAAGGCAGCTTCAGCATGAGAATCAAGATTATGCTTATCCTAGGGTACGGTGTTTGTTTTGCTTTTAATCCAGACAGTTCCTGCCTTGGTTGGCTTAACCTCTACACATTCCCTCCTCCCTCTCTAATCACTAATTAACTTTAGTTTCCATAAATCTGCTTTTTTTGTTTGTTTGTTTGGTGATTGACTTCTTTTTCTCAGTATAGTATTTTCATGTTCCACCCATCCTGTAGCAGGCAGCAAGACTTCATTTCTCCTGAGTAGGGAACATTCTCTCGTGTGAACACACCACATTTCATTTAACCCTTCTTCTATTGATGGACAGTTAGATTGTTTTCACCTTTTGACTATTATGAATAACTGTACAACAAACATTGGTGTATAACTCTCTTTTTAAAATTTTTATTATTATTATTAATTTAAATGAAAATTTACAGACTTCGAGTTTCCATTAATTCATTGTTACACTTTTCTCCCTGCCCACCCCTCCTTCCATAACTCTGTTTTTGTGTTGAATTATTTTGGAAATACATCGAGGAGTAGAATTAGTGGGTCATAGGGAAGTTCTGTTTTCAGTTTTCTGCGGCACTACCACATTGTTTCCCACGATGCCTGTGCCATTTTGCATTCCTCGCTGCAACAGAGAGAGGTTCCAGCTATCCTACACCCTGTCTCACACAGGTCTTCTTGGCTGCAATCTTTATAGAAGCAGATTTTCGTATCTTTCTTCAGGGGCACTCCGAGATGAGTTTGAACTGCCAACCTTAGGGTTAGTAGTTGAGTGTAAACCATTTGCACCACCCAGGACTCTGTGTTTTACTTTTTTGGTGATGCTGATGCAGAAGTCTGTAGAATGCCATTGAAGAACTAGGGAGCAGGAACCCCCTTTCCACACAGGCTGGTGCTTCTCGTGGGCTGCCTGAAATTGCTGTTTCTCTTTTCCTGTGACTGTCCGGTCTTCACCAAAGCAAAAGACTCCTTAGAGAAAGGCCTAAGGCATTTGAGTTCCTTTTATTTCTGCCCTGGCACAGTGTACTATATAATATGCCTGTTGACATGGAAGTGTGCTTGTGTAATATTATTTTTATTTTCATGATTTTTCTAGTTTCATGGATCAAACACAGAGAAGAAGCAGGGGCAATGCCCTTTGCAGCTCTACCTCTCAGCCCAAGAAGAAAAGGACATCGCTGATGTCTTTCTTTTCCAAGGTTTGATATAAAACATCATGAACAGTTTCCCTTTCTGCAGCCGTTTAATTATCTGTGGATTTGCCTAGTCTACGGTTAGTTAGAATCTCCACTGAGATTCTGTCTTCTGAGAAAAAAAAATGATGACAGTTCTTTTCTTTTAAATTTTATTTAATTAATTTAAAATAGGCTTTATCTTATTAAAAAAACAGGGTTTTGTTTGTTTTTTGTTGTTGTTGTTTTTGTTGTTTTTTTTTTTTTTTTAAATTTTTGTGTGCGTGTACCATCAAATCAGATCTGACTGGTACAGGAGGAGATTGTCCCTCCTTCCCCGGCAGAGCATCTGGTGGATTTGAACCGTGCGCCTCTGGGATTGTAGTTGCAGCTCCTTGCCACTAGGCCACCAGAGCTCTCCTTGTTGTTGTTGTTATGTGCCATCGAGTTGCTGGCAACTCGTAGCGACTAAATTTTGGTTTTAGGCGCCATTGAGTCAGATACAATCCATAGTGACTCTATGAGCAACACATTTGAACCCTCCCCGATCTTGTACCATCCTCATGCTTCCTGACACATTAGAACCCATTTTGGCAGTCAGTGTGTCCTGTGTCGATCCACCTGGTCGAAGGTCTTCCTCTCCTTGGCCAACCCTCTACCTTTCTGAGCATCATGTCCTTCTCTGAGGAACAGGCCCTCCTAGAACCTGCCCAAAATTGGTGAGGCGAAGCTTCATCACTCTTGCTTCCAAAGAGCACTCTGGCTGCACCCTCTTCAAGACATATCTATTTGTCCTCTTGACTGTCCATGGATGTTAAGTGTTCTTCTCCAACACCACAGCTCAAAGCCATCAATGCTCTAGAGCATATCTTTTAGTAATTCCCCCCAAAACCATCAAATTATTTGTCATGTTGAGCAAATGAGTGTATTTCTAACAAAATCAGGCATCAGTATGTAAAGGAAAGAAGGGGTACAGTTGAGTGGGCAACCCCAGGATTTTCTTCAGAGGGCGGGATTGGAGTTGGGGTTGAATCTGGCTCTGAATGATCCTAACGAGCACATTTTGACCCGCCCCACAGGTATCTGGGAAACTAAGGTTCCAGAAGCGGGAGTCTCTGAGGAACACTCTTACCTTCTTGGCAGAAAGAGCCTGGGACCGCAGTGCTAGAAAGCGTCACATGGTGATGAAAGGCCTGGGCACGCTGGCCTGTGAAGCCCCGGACAAGGTAGGAAGAGGCATGCGTTTGAGACGATCTCCAGTCCTCGAGGTGTTCCAGACCCAGGGCTGGGGTCAGATCCTGCCGATACTTGCTATCTGTTGCTGCTTAACAAATCACCTCACACTTAACAGCCTGAAGCAGCATACAGTCATCATCTTCCAGTTTCTACGGGGCAAGAGTCCAGGCATGGATGAGTTGCATCCTCTGCTCAGGGTCTCACAGGGTTGCAGTCAGGGGTCAGTCGGGCTGCATGGCTTTCCGAAGCTGGCGTGGGGGTGGGGGATGGGGGTCTCTTCCAGTCTCATCTATTTGTTGGCAGACATTAGTTCCTACAGTCATAGGACTGAGGTCGCCTCAGCTCCCTGCTACACGGCCCCCTTCTTTCCCTTCTAAATGTTATTTTGTTGTTGTTGTTATGTGCTGTCAAGTTGCCTGTGAATCATAGTGACTCTGAGCCCTGCCTTATCCTGAGCCAACATCACCGTCTCCAATACACCTACTCCCACCACCCCAGTCACTGAGTCAAGTCACCTCATCCAGGGTCTTCCTCTCCTGCACTGTCCCTCCATCATTACAAGCATGACGTCCTTCTCCAAGAACTAGTCCCTCCTAGCAACCTGCCCAAAGTATATGAGACAGAGCTTCAGAATCCTTGACTTCAAGAAGCAGCCTGGTTTCATCCTCTCCAGGACAGACCTGCTTGTTCTCTTAACAGTCGATAGTATGTTCAACACTCTTCTCCAGCAATAAAACTCAAAGGCATTGGTTCTCCTTCTGTTATCCTTATGCATTGTCCAGCTCTCTGTTGCATAGCAAGTAATTAGGAAGACCAAGGCCTGGATCAGGTGCATCTTAGTCTCTAGACTGACATCATTTATCTTCAGTACTCTGGAGAGGTCCCTGACAGTAGATTTTTCCCAACACAATTTGTCTTTTGATTTCCTGACTGCTGGTGCCATGAGTGTTGATAGTGGAGCCAAGCAAGCTGAAGCTGTTAATAATCTTAATTTCTTCTCCACCTATCATAGTGCTGCCAATTGGCCCAGGGGTGCGAATCTTTGTCTTCTTGATTTGAGCTTCAATCCACATTGAAGACTATAGTCCTTGACTTTCTGCAGCAAAGTCTTCAGGCCCTCCTCAATTTTAGAAAGTAAGGTTGTGTTACCTGCATAATTCAGGTTGTTGATAAGTCTTCCTCCAATCCTGATGCCACATTCCTCCTCGTAGAGTCCAACCTCCTAGATGATCTGTTCCACATATAGATTGGAAAGGTATGGAGATAGGATGCATCCCATGCAGTGTTCCCCTGCTCTGTTCTGACGACTGCCTCCTCGTCCAAGCATAGGTTTTGCATGAGCACAATTAAATGTTCCTAGAATTCCATTCTTCTTTAGAGTAGCCACAGTTTGTTGTGATCTACACAGTCAAATGCCTTTGCATAGTCAGTAAAACACAGATATTCCTCTGATACTCTCTGCTTTCAGCTAAGATCCATCTAACATCGGTTATAATGTCTCTAGTGCCATGGTCTCTTCTAAAACCAGCTTATTCAGCTGACAGTTCTCTGCTGAAGTGTTGTTCCATTTGTTTTTAGATAATCTTGATCTCACTTGCATGTGTAATTAATGATATGGTACAGTAATTTCCAGACTCTGTCAGATCTCTTTCTTTTTTGCAGGGAATAAATATGGGTCTTTTTCAGTCGGCTGGTCATGTGGTTGTCCTTCAGACTTCTTGGCACAGACTGGTGAGCACATCCAGGACAGCATTTGTTTGTTGAAATACATCAATTGGTATTCCATCAACTCTTGGGGCCTTGCTTTTCTGCCAATTCCTTCAGAGCAGCCTGATCTTCCTCCTTCATCACCATTGCTTCTTGATCATATGTTGTTTCATGAAATTCTTTGTGTCAGTCAATTCTTTTTTGGTCTAGTGAATCTGTGTATTCCTTCCATCTTCTTTTTATTATTTTTTTAATCTAGCAAAAAGTAAATTTATTTTAGCTACACAGGAATTTTATAAGCAATTGAGTTACACTAAAAATTGGTGCAGTAAACATTGGCCATTTTAATTATTATTTTTATACCTCATTTATATTTAAATTAATAAGTGATAGAGTGGACTTGATGACAATCACAGTGGATTTTGATGGGTTCATGTAGAAATATTTTCAATTTCCCAATGTATAGCTGCATATTTTCTTAAAAAATAATCACATTATCTTTTAAAATGCATTACAGAAATCAGATGAAGGATGTAAAGAAATGATATAAGCAGAAATCCATTAATTCAGACGTATATATTCAGAAATAGTGAGGATAAAATATGTGACTTAAAGTCAATACAGCGTCCTTTGTATTCCTAATCTCTGCAGTGGCTAGGCTCTGGAAACAAGATTAACACCACATGGAAATTTTCCCAGTAATTCTTTCTCTAAAAAGGAATCTTCTGGAGCATCAAATTGATCTTCTGGTAACTTTGGCTTCTTAAGGGATTGTTCTCTAGCTTCAAACTTTTCTTCTTGAGCAGAACTTGTTTCCTCAAAGAATGACACAGAAGGAGTGATTTTGCAGCTGTCCGCACAGTGGCCCAAGGGCTCCCAAGCCATCCAGCCCTTCTAGGCCCCAAGCAGCCATGGCAGGGACCGAGAGGAGCCACTGTCCCCTGCCTCAGGAAGGAAGGAGCCAGCTGCAGAACGCTGTCGTTTGACGCTTCCTAGGTCATTCAATATTCTGCCTACAGTGTCATTAAATATTACAACTCAGAGCTTGAATTTGTTCTTCAATTCCTTCACCTTAAGAAATACCAAGCAAGTTCGGACTTTTTGATTTTCCGACTCCAGCTCTTTGCACATATCATTATAATACTTTGCTTTGTCTTCTAGAGCTGCCCTTTGATATCTTCTATTCCTACGTGTATAATTTAGGACATCTACTACATTCTTCAAGTTTCCTAATCTTTCTCATCCTCTTTTTCTGAGTAGTTCCTCCCCCATTGATATAAACTCACTGCCTCCCAAGTCTTATTTAGTATTTTGGGATGATGTTGTCAATTTGATCTCATATTCATAGTTCTTGAAAGGGCATGATACTCAAGGCCGAGTTTTGTTTTGTTCTGTGATAGTTTTTCTTTCTTTTTTTTTTAGACTTAGATACTTTCGCAGTTTAATTTGCAAACAAATTTTTATAACAAATTGTTTTTGACCAAATCATACTTTGAAAACTGTTTATATAGAAAACCCAGGGAATAAAGTGGACTGTTTATTGTGAAGGCCTTAAATTACATTATTACAATAGAAAGTACAGGAGGTAGAAGATAACTGAAAAGACTAATGAAACATTATTAGTTAAAAGAATGCTTGCCTTTAAGCTTATTTCAGGTGATATTTTGAGTTTAAGGATTATTTCAGGGCGTAGTCTCAGGTGTTCAGACAGTTTTTACTGCTCTAGAAAGTCAAGAGGCTGGGAATATGAAACTTAGCTCTGCATTTTGCTCTTTGATCAGGATTCTTCTATGGAATCTTCCATGAAAATGATCCGTAATGGTAGTCGGGTTCTATCCAGTTCTGGTCTCACGGCAAAGCAGTTGTTCCTAAAGGTGGCTAGGCACACATTCTGGATTCTTTGCTATTCTTCACTTTCCTTCCTCTTTTGCCCCAGGTGAACAGAAAGCAGTTGTGTGTCTTGAATGGCCATGTGCAAACTTCCAAGACCCCAGGTGCTATACAAAGAACTACAAGGAGAATGGAAACACTGCACTTTATTTGGCAAATGAAAAAAAAAAACCACAAAAAAAACCAACAAACCACCATGACCTTAAACCTCTAAACCTTGATACCAAATTCTATGAGTTAGTTGGTTATACATAAACAAACTTGGTAGTTACTCTTTTTACTGGTGAGGCCACTGGAATGTTTTCTTTGGTGAAATGCACACTCAAGTTTTTTTGCTCATTTTATGCTTGAATTGTCTATCTTTTTGTTGCTATATCATCAAAGTAATATTGCGTAAGTTAGCTTTTCTTGTCACTTTTTGGGACAAAGTCTTTTGAAGAAGAAATCTTTTCCTTTCTGTGGAATTGCATTTATTTATTTTGTCTTTTGTCTGTGTTTATGTCGTTACATGACATGATCCATCTCTGAAATCTAGATCTATCTGTGATGCCTCTGCTGGCTCGTCCAAGAACTTTGTGATTTCAACTTGCAAATTTAGGTCCTAACTCCATTTTGAATCTATTTATGTGTGTATGGTTTGGATCCTGTTTCATTTCTCTGCATGTGGAAATCCAATTTTTCCAGCATCATTAATTGAAGAAGCTATCTTTCCTTATCAAATGCACTTAACATCCTTGAAAAATCAGTTGACTGTAGATATGTAGGCTAAAGTGGGTGCTTCTTCATAGCCAAGGGTAACAAGCCTTTCCCCCCGAGTCTGCTGAAATGGAAGCTAACCACAGAAACGACTTCTCACTATTTTTTGCCACATTTCATATATTAGAAACCAATTGCAAATCCCCTCTCCATTCAAGGAGAGGAGTTTGTACAAGGGTGTAACTCATTTGAGGGCACCTCAGAGTTATCTGTTATGGATAACTCATCATCAGGGCCCATTGGAGGTCACTTTAAGGTTATGATGACCTTCCTAAGGTTGTGGTAACCAACTTTCCTTCCTACCAGGGGCAACAGGGCTTCAGGCAGGATTAACACACAAGTGGGCCATTGACTTTCTTGGTGAATTCAAGTGTTCTTCTAATGATTTATGTTTATTTAGTAAAAGATCATTTCTCTACTTCCTCTTTAATCATTTGTCAACATCAGTGACCATTTCATTTCTTCCTCGTTGTAAATATATCCAGAGCTGCTCTCGCTCCCAAGATCACTCAGGTTTGACCTGTCCTTCCCTGCCCTCCCCATCCATCGGCCACACTCTATTCTTTCTCTTTTCCCTCTGTAATACTAGGTTGAACTCTGCCAAGACAAAACTACTATATATATAAACAAAAGTTTGAATCTTCCATTCAACCCCATGGATGAATGGAAGCTTTTGTGTGTGAATGAGAACGATCTGGTTGATTCTGAAGACAGCCATCCTTGCTCTGTGCATGTCCTAGGAAATTAGAAGTGGAGTTAGTTTTCAATCCTTGTGTAGCAATTCCCCTGCCTCTAATGCCTTTCCAATCTGGTGGCAGGTGAGGAAGTATAAGAAGATTTTCCTTGACCTGCTGGTGCATGGGCTGTATGACCCTGTGAGCTCTGAGGTCATCCACGAGAGTCTGAAGACACTGGCCATCGTCCTGAGCAAGCTCCAGGGTAAAGGCCTGGGCTCCTTCTTCATTGACATCACCCTCCAGACCAGGACTTTGTTAGATGATGTAAGTGAGGACAGCCTGGAACATTCTGTCATTGCTTAACAAGTAGGAGTAGACCTGTGAGCTCTGTGTGGGGAGCTCGCAGGAAACTAAACCTCTGTTATTTATTGACTGAAGACCTTTATGGAGGAATGCATACTGTGCTAAGAGCCATAAAGGACACATACAGATTTATAGATTTTCATTCTTACCTTTTGAAGTATTTTCATTATAATAAGTGAATATGTGGACACTTAAGATAATGCCACCATTGTGTATTCAATGTTCTCATTTAAATGTAACAATATCAGTAGCTGGCATACATTAAGTATTTACTGTAGTTTGGCTATGATGCTAGGTAATTTACATGGACTAATCTCACATAATCCTTAAAACAACCCTACAAGGTAGGCACTGTTGTCATCCCCAACTTACAGATGAAGAAACCAAGGCATGGAATATTTCAGTAACCTGCCTCAGGTTTACAGGGCCAGTAGAAAAGAATCCAGTCTCTCTGACTACAGGGCTTCCACTCTTAACTACCAGTTACAAGACCTGTCACGTACCAATTGTCATTGAATTGTTTCCAACTCATTCGGACTCAGTAGGAGATAGCTCTCTACAGGCTCCAAGGCTGGCATTTGTACAGAGGCAAATGGCCTCCTCTTTCTTCTGCAGTTGGTGGGTTTAATATGCTGAACCTCCAGCTATCATTTAAATGCTTAACCATTGCACTGCTAGGAATCCCGGACTAAATGGGTCACAGATAAAGAGCAAAAGGGGTTCAAGTGTAGGAAGAATTATTTCCAGCTGGAGCAAAGGTCAGACTTCACAGGAAGAATTGAGTTCTGACAGGACCTTGAGAGACAAGTAGAGAGAGTTCTCTTCAGAGCAAACAGCCTGGCTCAAAAGTGCACAGAGAGGTTGTTGTTTAGTCTGAAATGATGAATCGTCTGCAACACTACTTGCAAGTTAAGAATTTAGTCTGCCACAACTGTGTATTTGTAGGCAAGCTCTGGTGGGCTAGTGGCAAGGAGCTGTACTGCAATCCCAGAGGTGCATGGTTCTAATCCGCCAGATGCTCTGCTGAAGAAGGAGGGACTATCTCCTCCTGTACCAGTCAGATCGGATTTGATGGTAAACACACACACAAAATAAAATTAAAAAAAAAAATTTAAAAAGAAAAATAAAACCCCTCAACCGTATATTTGTATGTGTGTATGGTGGTTGTTATGTTCTGTCAAGTTGGAATTGACTTACAGCTGACCCTCCAGTGGGTTTTCAGAGGCAGTAAATCACGCAGGAGAAGATTGCCCATCTTTCTCCCTCAGAGCAGCTGGGGGATTTGAACCTTGTGTCTTTGGGTTGGTATCACAACTCCTTACCTACTAGGCCATGTGTATGTATGTATATATGTGTGTATGTGTGTGTGTGTGTGTGTGTGTGTGTGTGTGTCTGTGTGTGTGTGTATCTAGGTTCTGATATTTATCAGACATGATAATCACTTATTCACCAGAGGGAGCTCTGGTGATAAGATGGTAAGAAATATATGTGTGTGTATACACACACACATGCACACATACATCACAGAATCAGGCAAAAGTTTTATCTGTTTGTTATAGGGTGACTATGTATGTATGTATGTATGTGTGTTTATATATATATACGTATATACAATAAAATTAGGAAATAAAATAGAAAATTAACAATCTTCTCAGATGTAAAATTAAGCAAGTCTTTTCCTATCCTTCAATGTGTGTTTTGATTTATTGAAAAGATTGTTTAGAGAGCTCTAAGACAGATTGTTTGATGGGGGAAAAAATCCAGGTGTTTAACAGCGGCTATGGTATACTTCCATTTCTGTAAAAATGTGTAAAAAGAATGTGCAATATAGAGATGTATTTTATTTTTTAATTTTCTGGAGGGATATGCACAGAACTTAATACTTTATTTGTATAGAAAAAAATGGTAGCAGGTGGAGAGGATTAGGAATGGACTTAATTTTCCTTTCAAATTTTTTTATTAGTTTGAGTTTTGAGTTAGAGAAACATGTTAAGTCTGCAGAACATTGAATATTGACAAACCCCAGGATTCTTGTGTTTTGGGGTTTTTTTTTTCCCAAGGCAAAGGTCCATTGAAGACTTCAGAGCCTCTCTCGACCGTGTCTAGACCCCTTCCCAAATCACGATTCTCTAGGGGGGCTGAAGGCACCTCTTTTTTTTTTACTTCCAGACTTTTTTTTTAAAATTTTTTTTTATTATTAAATTTTATTAGTTTTAATGAACATTTACAGGGATTTTGGGTTTTCATTCCTTCATTGCTGCACCATTCTCTCTACCCTCCTCCCCAGTTTGTTCTTCTTCCCCGCCATCCGAATGTCTGTTTTAATTGTCCAATTGCCAGTGCTTGTCAAAGTCAGTTCTGATTAATCTCCTTTGTCGGTGTGTCCTTTGCCATTCCCTATCACTCCTCCCTGAGAGAGACTTCACCCTGATTCATAAGGAAAAGGGGATGGCGTATTCTCTTAGCTACTTCCTGCTGAAAAGGGACGCTGTGGGTTTCAGGGTGAAGATCTTCTCTCACTACTCTAAAGGGCCCCTTTGGCAGTAGGAAACATATAATGTACCTTAATAAGTGAAAGTATGATGTTCTCTGATGCAGTTCACTGCTGACATTAGTGACCTGGTTTTGTTGTTTCTTGTGGATGGGGACCCCCAGGACAATGACAACCTGAGATACTCAGCCTTTGTCTTGTTTGGACAATTGGCTGCCTTCGCTGGACGGAAATGGAAGAAATTTTTCACCACGCAGGTTAAGCAGACCCGAGATTCACTGCTGACCCATTTATGGGATAGAAATCCTCAAGTGGCCAAGGTAAGGCTCCTTGACCGTCACTCCCTGCTCAGACACATGGAATCTCTGTGCTCTCTACAAAGGGTCTGTGGGACAGCCAGGTCGAAGGGTGGATGCCAAACCCTCAGCTTCCTGCCCTGCCAGCTGTAGACATGGTGTGAATCTCACAGAACACACCTTCTCTGAATCTGTGGTCACTGTGAGTCATTATTAACTCAGTACCATATAACATGTCCTAAAACTGTTTCTACTAGGTTTCTTTCTGATTACTATGTTATAAACCAGCATCAAGATAAAACACATTATTCACTCTAATATATCTTTATGTATCAGAAAGAAGTACACTAAAGAATGGTGGTGTTCTGAGGTTGACATTTATTTGATAATATAAATGAAATGCCATATAAGTATATATTTTTCTTTTTTCCTTTTCTTATTTGTCTTTTTAAATTTATTTTCTACTAGTTTATTTACAAAATTCAAATTTGAACAAATTATTTCCATTTTCCTCACCCCCTCATCAAATTGTACAACCTGATGATTAAGCCCCCATTACCCCAGCACATCCGCATCCTCTGCTCCCACCCCTTCTACGTGGATCCTTATACTTATTCTGCAATAATGGTTTTATACAATATTTATCCTTGTGGGACTGAGTTAGTTCACTCAACATAATGCTCTCCAGTCCCTCCCAAATTAGGCAATAATTTACAAAACTATTGCTCCTGTGTGCTGCATAGTGTTCCATTGTGCCATACAAGTATATTTTAAAAGAACAGTATAACCTCGGAATTGACAGGTAGTGACAAGTTACTACAGAGGGTCTGTTATGGATTAAACTATGTTTCCCAAAGATATGTTAAAGTCTTAACCCCTTTTAAAAAAACAAACAAACCTAAAACACATCTCAATGTGTAATCACTAACAAGGACTGTTATTTTCCACTTCACTTGTTTAATCCCAGTCAGGGCTTGAAAAACTCAGGCTAATGGCAAATAAGGACAGAAATGAACTCATGTGGTCGAAGCCATTCCAACAGTGGTCAAAGGGAAACAGTTCCACAAGCTTTCCAAAGCCATCATTTTTGTGGAAGCACACTGCCACACCCTTGTCCTGTGGAGCAGCTGGTGGCCTTGAACTGGTGACCTTTCAGTTAGTAGTTCAGTGCTTCCACCATCACGTTCCTCTTGAGAGCACAAAGGCCCAAGTTCAATTAGTAAGCAGCAGCCCACCTAATGGAGATACTGATTTACCTTCTGGCACCGGGCCTGGTATGAGTGACCTGACCTCAGCTCCTTGATTCCCTGTGGAGTCTTTCTTTTATTCTTATGTGTCCTCCTGTGCTTGAATCAAACGCATGCTCACTTCGGAGTGGGACGAACAAGTGCTTCAAAGTCAGGGCTTAACTCTTCCAATACCTTGCCATTATGCACTGCTTAACGTCTCTTTGACAATGTCCAACCACATGTATGCATGTGACTCTGTAGAGTTAGTTTTGTTTGTTTTTGTTTTTAAAAGGAAAGGGTTTTTCTTCTTCTTATTTTTCTCTGAGAGGCATTAAAGACCTCAGATCCAGACTCTTGCAGTACAGGATCACAGTAGGATGCTGGCAGAGGGCAAGGCTCTGGGCACCAGCTTTCCCAGCTTTGACCAGGGTGCTATGGGGCCAGGGGGACTCTGCAGTTAAGGCAAGTGAACGTTTGGTGGGGTTGAGAGTTCTATCCTCTTGAAGCTGTCTTAGCCACCCCTCCTGCAGCTACCCATTCCTCTGGCTTCCACTAGCAGCCCCACCAGCAGCAGTAACAAGGACACACAGCGCAGGGCTCCCCAAAGATTTTACTCCAGTGCTCCCACCACCTCCAAATCCCACGGCATCCTGTTTCACGGCCTGCACTGTGGACATTAAGCAACATTGTCAGTATTTGCTTCATTGGGCACAGAGGGTTCACAGGATCACTCTTATTCTTAAATTACTGTGAAGAAAGGAAGGGAGGGAACAAGGTGAAGAGAGATTGAACTCTAGCAACTGAGTGCACATTTTCACGCCAAAATAACAAGAACCAACCAGTTGTCCTCAAGCTGACCTCCGCGTCATCGGGTTTTCAATGGCTGATTCTTGGGGAAGTAGGTGACAAAGCTTATTTTTCCAAGGCCTTTTTTGATCAAACCTCTAGTGTTTTTAAAGAACATTTTTTTTATTTTATTCTGGTTTATTTACAAAGTTCTTATACACTGTTTTTCACACCAGATCTTTCCCATTTCTTTTACCCACCCCGCCCTCCACCCATCAAATTGTGCGACCCTGTGATTGCTGCCCCCCACGCCGCGCTCATCCTCCCCCCTCTACTCCTCCCCCCTCCCCCTTGGATCCTTATACATGGTTTACTAGTTACCCTTCTATTTCTACAATAATGGGGACCTCTAGTGTTGATAGTTACCAGATGAGCATGCTAGCCATTTTGCACCACCTATGCAACCCAAAGGCACAGGGTTCCAGTCCACCAGCTGCTCCTTGGGAGCAAGAGAAGTGGTTTCTTCCATGCAGTTTGCTGCTCATGTGCACCTGCTAAAGGGTCAGCAATGAGGTGTTGGTTCTGACTCAGTGACACATACGACCTCCCCACCTCCCACCATCACCACCACTGCCACTGCCACCACCTCCTCTGCCGCCACCGCCACCGCTACCACCACCTCCCACTCCCCCACCATCACCACCACCACCACCACCTCCTCTGCCGCCACCACCACCAC